GATGTGTATAAGAGACAGTCTCTATACTGTTTAATTATTTAAGGATGTAGAAACAGAATCACCGATCACCGTTACGTGAATTAAACGCGCCAATTGTGTCAATAATGTGCGAAATACGGGCGAAATGTATATCATCACCGCATACACACACATTAGTATTTCCAAGGATATTTTAATTTTATCGTCTGCTTTAACGTCAGCTGTTGCTCGTACTCGCTACGTAGGTGTACGATCAAATTTTATAAACGCTCAGTGATCGTTTGTCATCATTATCCATTGATCGACCTAAACCATCGACAAATTTGCTCAGCCATTAATTGTGAATATAACCAAGAATGCAATATTTCTTTAGATGGGAGGTCATAACGAGAACTAGCGCGCTATCGCAGACGATCAATTATCGTCTGTACACCTTTTTCGGACCGCAGAGGCACGCGACTATTTGTTATATTGATGTTGGACACATACAACAATCAGCCAAGGGAATTCGGTGATTTCCGCATGTTTGCTTTCATTGATTTTGAGCGTCAACAGTTCAAACATTGGTATATTTTCGTTACTTCATGTTGGTTCCATCTGGACTGCATTTCTGGTTCCCATTGGTCTGTTAATGAATTTACTCTTTAAAAAGAGCTTGGCTTACAAACAATATTACTATATTTTATTAACAAAAAAAACAAAAAAAAAACAAAAAAACGAAAGGGCCACTGATTAATCTCAGATAAGAAAGTATAATATACGTTCCATATTGAATTGCAATACGATGGCGTGCATTTTAATTGGATTATGTATTATACTTCTTATAGTAATTTCTGGAACGTTAAGAATAAAGCGATCATTTAAAAATGTAAATGATCACTCGAAATACCAATACTTTTTTGTATTCGTATCATCATAATTGATAGAATCAGTACAGATACTGTACCACCAAACGCCGACTGCAATCATGAGCCTATTGTCACAACATATCAAATTCAAAACATAGGCCTAGTACGGTATTATTATTAAGAAGGCGGGTCTAGAAAGTGGAAAATTTGCATTCATTTTATGTAGAGGCAGACAGACAAAATATATTCGATGCGACGAAGTAGATATTAATTTTGCTATAAAGTCATCACACTTGTCAATCAATTAAAAATTCCAATGAGCATGTGTTGATCCGCCATGATCACCGTCAGTATTATACAGTCGATTTAAATTCAGCCAAGTATGGAAAATCTTTTCCATTCAAACAACTTCTAAATATCGATGTAAAGGCATTCGTTACGTAGGTTGCAATGAATCGAATATACTATTATTATTCTTATTCATTAAGACATTTTGCGGTTCACTATGGAGTCAAATTTAGCTCTGACATTTCATATTATTTATATTATTATTAGACCACATGTTAGTTAGTTAAGCCTATCAATGGAATGATTATTACGGTAGCCTATTTATCTTATAAGATGCATAATTTGAGGATTATTATTGTAGTATCTGTGCTTAATTTGTGCTTTAAAAGTGAATTTGCAGATCTCATTGGCTAACGATGTATCGGATCTTCTGCCTCTGTGCCTAAGAACAGATCCAGGATGGATGTTACTTTTGTGTGGTTGAAGTGCCAAATTTGAGAACATGAGCCGAAAGGGGAGGGGAGATTTTGTTTCCATAAACATAAGTTATACTTGTTTTTGCTACACTGTGCCCCTTTATTTTCATAATTTCTTCATTAATTAAGACAAGTACAAACTTGCTTAAAGTTTGACAAATTTAATTAATTAAACTAATTTTATAATAATTGAAAGTTTTATGCTACAGTAAAATTCGGCTAACATTAACTTATTCACTTAATACTTTTTTTTTGTTAATATATATTCAGCTTTCTTGGGTTTTTAAAAGTTATTTCCTGACCTTACATTTTACATTAGGCTATTTATTAGTAACTTATTATAACCTT